TCTCCAACAAAGTAATTTCTTCTTTTTGCACATACTTCTTTATAAAATACAGAGGCCAAATGCCCCCAAAGAAATTCAAGGCCTCCTAAGATTTTGTTTCTCAGGAAGAGAATCAGGATAACATATTTTATTTTATTTTATTTTATTTTATTTTATTTTATTTTATTTTATTTTATTTTTGAAACTGAGTCTTGCTCTATTACCCAGCCTGGAGTGCAGTGGTGCCAACTCTGCTCACTGCGACTTCCGGCTCCTGGATTCAAGCGATTCTCCTGCCTCAGCCTTCCGAGTAGCTGGTATAACAGGCGTGTGCCGTCACACCCAGATGACTTTTGTATTTTTTGAAGAGACAGGGTTTCGGCATTTTGGCCAGGCTGATCTCAAATTCCTGACCTCGAGTGATCCGCGTGCCTCAGCCTCCCAAAGTGCTGGGATTACAGGAGTAAGCCACTGTGCCCGGCCACCATTACTATTTAACTTGTCCTGAATTTGATTCCTTAAAGACTCACGAAAAGCTAAAGCATTCTGGCAAAGTTGCTGTAGGTCAAATGCACCACAGAAGGCATCACAAATCTAATAACTTCAAATAATTTTATATATACTACTGTGGGTGATTTTCCTTTTCCTTACCTTGTGTTTTCCTTACAGATTGTCAATAATGTACATGAATTAAACTTATAATTTTTAAAACTAAAAAATATATTTATAATACATTGCTCTTGATTTGAAAATGAATTGCAATATATTCTAACGGGGAATTTCATGACATGCTTATTGGGGATATTGTTTACTGTCTGATGACTCCTGCAGGAACAACAGGATTACATTTTTTTAAAAACAATAACCATTTATTCACATAACCAAAAAGTCATATAATCTCTCTATACTAGGCACAGTTCAGGGTGTGTTCACTTGTTTGTTTTTCGGTGGTGAAATTCAGTGATTTCATTTACTTTAAAACCCTGGCCAGGCACAGCGGCTCACGCCTGTAATTCCAGCACTATGGGAGGCTGAGGTGGGCCGATCACTTGAGTTCAAAAGTTCAAGACCAACCTGGCCAACATGATGAAACCCCATCTTTAAAAATAAAAATAATGAAAAAAGAAAAAAACCCTAATCAATCAACTTAAACCTGAAGAAGGCCTCAGAAGTAGATTTCTTGCAGAGTTGTGAAAAAATCCTTCTATCAGTGGCTGGCCTTAATTATTGCTAAACAATTCTAAGTAATTCTTCATGTTACTCTGTTTAGGATTGGTTCAAAATGCAATGCAATTAATTAAAAAAGAAGACACGAAGAGTGAAAAGTCTTCTGAGCTACCTTCAAAACCAATTTAATTCTTCTCATGAGCAACAAGGATATTTTAAACATAATGAATGATTCAACTACTAAAGTCTGCTATACTCTCTCCAACTAAACAATTAAGCAAGTAAGCATTGATTCTGTGTTTATTTATATAAAAGACCTACTGTCAGAGAGGTGAATATACCCAACCAAATTTAAGCAGGGCTTAGATTGCATAGTGTAATCTGATTATGAATAGCAGGTGGTTAATGTACCAGAATAATACTGTCAAAAGCAGAGTGGATAAGAATAGTCACCTAATAATGATGTACATAACAACTACATGACTTCATTTTTTATTTTTGTTTTTTTAATTAAAAAGTAATAAAAGGACTTTGGGCCCAGGTGGTACAGTAAAGGGATACTTTGATGTACTCCCACTAATCCTTCTAATACACAGAAATTATTGCTAAAATATAAAAATGGGAACAAGACATAAGGATAGGAAGCTATTAATATATTAAGCTCCAGTTTTAGAAGGAATCAGAAACAGGTTCCCGGGGATGAGACCCAAGCCATGCTTTGAAAATCATGTTGTAAAACTGACTGCTATTTCTGATTGTTTTCTCATCACTTTTTGGTTTTTCTTTTATGATGATCATGTGCTTGAATCTTTGAATATATTAATTAAAGGCTGTGTGTGTGAATGTTTAATTCTGTTATGACTTTTGTGGAATTCTCTTTTGTTTCTCCACTTATCACTATTTACTCCCACTGTGTTTCTATTTGTCTTGTATTTTTTCTTTTATGTTACTGATTTTCCTCATATACCTGGTTGTTTTAGCTTATCTGTTCAGGTCTAAGAATGTAGGACTCTGAGGCGGGTGTGAGTTTCTTCTGATGTTACGTTTCGATAGATTTAAGTAGGTTGATTTTTCTGTAACTCTCTGGAGTGGGAAATCATAGCAGGAGCAGTTTATACTTGGGTGGGTGTCAACAATTTGATTTCAACTTACAGTGAGTGGGTAGGGAGCCAGCAGGGAAACCTCCCAAATACCAGAGGAGGAGCTCACCGTGGAGCATTAGCGTTCACACTAGATGCCTTAAATTTCTCCCATAAGGTTCTGTTCAACTTTTAAAGGAAATGGCCCCACAGTTTTTTCAGGAGGGGAAACTCTGGCTGCCTAGCTTCTACGGAAGGGTTGGAGTCAGGGGAAAATGGCACATGTCACTTTCTCGGAATTTTTCTGGCTCAGAGCCTCTGAGAAGTTTCAAAAGGTAGTTGGGCTTCTGTTGATCTCATCAAACAGATGATTGAAAAGTAATCTATTAAAACAACATTATATTTGTTTCCTTCCCAAATGATGGAACACCTCACTTATTTAAGACAGAGTGTTATGCTCTCAGTCTTCATAGAAGAACCACTTAAGAAATAATTACCACCTACAGGACATTTTGGGATCTTCTGTAAAACTGTATTTTTTCATTATGTCACTTCAAATCCTTTATATAAAATCCATCCTAAGAACCCAGCTAACTAACTGGCACAGGCTCTAATGATTCACCTTGCTAGTAAAATATAACATGACAAGTAAGAGTCTTTGGTCAGAGGACCAGGTGTTAGAGTCATATGGGGAATTCAAGCTCACTGTCACTATTAGAAAATAACTCCAAGTACTATGTCCTCTGCTGATTGTTTCAGTGCGTTGTTCTCACCTATGAGACTCTGTCACCTTTAGTAGTATTGCTTAGCCTTTCTGTTTTCTCTTGGTATTTCTACCTCAAATAGAAAAACTTTCCCAGAATGTAATAATAATTTTTAAAAATTGGTGTGGAAATCATGTGCACATGATGAAAGACAGCCATGCAATTGAATTGTCAACGATGAAGAAAGCACCTTCAGACAAAAATTGCATGTTTGCTACGAGACTGAACTTAAAAAAAAACAAGCTGGACTAATGTTCTCACCTCCATATTAAGCAAGAGGAATGCCATCAACTGAACTCAGAGCAATCCAGAAAAAACAACTTCCTCTTTCCGATGCCATTTCCTTTTCATACCTAATATTATCGATCAGCCACTGGTAGTTCCCTTTACCATGACTGAAGTTTGCATCACAACAACATATGTGGCCAGGGAAAGTTACACTGTGGATGAGCCATCATGATATGCAGCCCTTTGTAAAGGTCTGTGGACATCCCCTACTTGCTATAAAATGGATACAGTATAGGCAGCATGCTGGCAACCCAGGTTGAAAACAACTAAATATCAATTCCTCCTACACCAAAGCAAAGGCGGATTTTCCTGGGAGTTCATTTCACATGGAAATAGAGGAACTCATCCCCTCTCCTCCAATGACTGATGAAGAGATAAAGGTATTTTCAGAATATCACATTTCAGAAGGCTAAGCAAGATACAGTATTTGGAAGGAGTTTGGAATTTAAGTCTCTACTACTTGCCCCTGAGTGATCTTGAAGAAATAACCTCAATTCAATTAAGTTCAATTAAACTTCAAGTTTTCTCATCTCTAAAATGATGGGGATGATTTCCTCCCTATAAAATTATATTGTAAAGATGATGAGGCTTTTTATATATAAAATATGTGGCTCAGAAGTGTATTAACTTGCTTAATAGACAGTCTAAACAAATGTTCAGAACATGAGCGAAATAGAGGCCTTAAAAAAAATAATAATAATAATTAGGTAAAAGTATGTGATTCTTCTAAAGAAAATGATTGGACCAGGTGCAGTGGTTCACACCTGTAATCCCAGCACTTTGGGAGGTCAAGGCCGGTGGATTACCTGAGGTCAGGAGTTCGAAACCAGGTTGACCAATATGGTGAAACCCCATCTCTACTAAAAGTTAGCCGGGCATGGTGGCAGGCACCCATACTCCCAGCTACTCAGGAGGCTGAGGCAAGAGAATCACTTGAACCCGGGAGGTGGAGGTTGCAGTGAGCTGAGATCGCACCACTGCACTCCAGCCTGAGCAACAGAGCGAGACTCCATGTCCGAAAAAGAAAGGAAAGAAGAAAGGAAGAAAGAAAGGAAGGACAGAAGGAAGAACGTGATTAAACTAGTAGTCTTGATAGTTTAAAAAGTGTAACTATATTTTATTATACTTTTAAAAAATACTTTTGGATACTTTGTGCCATTTTCCCTTACGCCATTTTTCTCTATCATTCTACTGTATTATCAAGTTCACAGACCCTGGTGACTAATGTTGGAAAAAAAACTATATATGGCCCCATTCCTGTATATATGGTTACATATAGGAAAGGGGCCATAAACTTCTCAGTGCCTACTCACTCGAAGGATGTTCTTTTACCTCAGGTTTCCTCTTTCTTCTCTAGTCTGTATCTGGGAGAGGTACACACATACTCAACAATTTGATTACATTGAGCATTCCCAAACATTTTAATATATTGGTGCCGGCATACTTAGGAGGTAGCTTTTGACTTATAGCAAATTTGCGTCTTGAAATAATTGAAGGCCATAAATATCTATGTCTGTCGTGTTGGTTTATTTTTCACCTGTGCCCTTTCAGCCTACAAGAAAACAAGTTGATAAAAACCTAATATTTTTCTATATTGTTCTATTGTATTATCAAGCTCACAGACCCTGGTGACTAATGTTGTTGGCAAAAAAAACACTACTCAACAAAAGGATAAAATTAATTACAAATGCATAGGTGGAAATTTTTAAAATATGAGACTCACAGGCTTTCCACTATTCGATATTCTCTTTACAGGGTGAAACTGATGTACGGCAAAGCACACCAGGTACGTGCTCATGGGGACAGACTTCTCAAAAGTTGTTCGATTCCATTTATCATCCACTGACTCTTCTTTCTATTGGAAAGAAAAGATAAACTTTTATCTATCGAAAGATCAATCATATATATATATATGTACATATATATGTACATATATATATATACATATATATGTACATATATATGTACATATATATATATACAAGACAAACAAATAAATGGTTGCCCCAAAGATTGCTGCCTAGTCAGAAGTCCTTTGTCAAAGCTTCAAGGTAAAATTGTTTGTGGTGATGTTGAAAAGACTACAGGAAAATTTACTTTGTTTTTAGAACTGCAAAAGACTGAACTATATACTGTAGTAGGTTTTCCAGGGAGAAATACAATTTTGACTGGACTACCAGTTGAATAGTTTATCTGTCTACACTAAAGACATCATGCTGACCATAATATTTGAGAGTGCTGTGATCTCCTAATGAAAAGCAAGCTTGTGCTCAGGTATTCGCTGATTCAGGGCAATTGCAGTATCTCATGCAGCAGAACGTTGGCTTCTCTTTTCTATCTTTGGTTGTCTACGACAAAGACCAAAGGTATGGTCACCAAAGTCAGTACCTTGGTCTCCGTGGACAGAGAGAAGGATTAGCATTGTTTGACACAACTACTGACCTTTCTGGCATCTTTGGTCCATGCCAGCTCTGCTGTCCTCACTGTGGATCACCAATCCTAAGACTTCAACCATGAATACCTGCCCAACTCCTGCTTCCATTATTTAAACATTTCCACATCTCCCGCAGCCACTCTCTTTGGGAAGGTTTAAAAAGAGATTAAGTGAGGGAGGCTGGACTAGAATGGGTGCTGCCGACAGTTCAGGCATGTGTGTGCATGCACATGTAATCATGATGGGGCTCCAGGCTACATTACTCGACCATAAAAACCTAATAGTGTTAGTTTGGATCTCCTAAGAACTCAGAATATTCTCCTTCTTCCAAGACCACTCTATGGATCTAGTAGAAGGTTGACGTGGAACTCTGCAAAATGAAAGGCCATAAGGAAAGATCTTGAGCAGAAATTGGTGAATTTGCCTTTTCCCACCGCCCCACCTTCATCTAGATTGGTGCGTCACACTTTAAGTTTATCCTTTCCTCTTTCTTCTCTGATCAAACCTTAGAAGAAAACAAGTTGATAATTAATTCTCACTGAGGCATGGATGGCCGCTAAGATTACATTTTGATCCTCTTAAGCATTTTGCTTTATTTTGTTGTTGCTTTTGCAAGGAATATTTTATCATTTAAAAAGATGAATTTTAATGATAATATTTCACACACTGGATCAAAAAGATGAGACACATAATTTGGGGCTGCTGTCCTTCTATTATACCTAAAGATGAGCCTGACCCTTTTACACGTCATGTAGAAAGTATATAAACCTCAACTTTGAGATAATGACACTTGGTAACAACATTATCCATTATGGAGATAAGGCGCAATAACAGAGAAAAGTGTTTTATGTTAATGAATAATTCATACAGGCAGAAATTATCATAACCTGTAATTGTTTTAGCCAGACATATAACAAGCACTTCCCATTCACCAAAAGAATCTATAGGCAAAGTGTTCCCTGGAGTTTGCTTCCACAACCCAGTATTTAAGTGATGATTGTTTTATATAGTAGATCTATCTTTAAAAATAAAGAAAGAAAAACTGGGTTTATAGTCTTGAAAACTAAATAGTGAGTAGCCGTCAAATATTTTCAAGTCTGTAATTCCATTAGTTTGCTATTACTATAATTTTTCACGACTCAGGGATTCTGTCAGCTAAGCAGAGTCCAAGCTGGTGTATGTGTTTATTGCACTGTCTCTTGGGTAGAAACACCAACGTGTCTTTCCTACTGAACTGTGATACCTGAAAGACTTCTGGGCCTCAAAGAAAAAGATTGCCAACATGTATTTCAGTTGACTAAATAAACTATTACTGCACATTTAGTTTTAGAATTCAATGGGTTCCCTTTCACAGAAAATCAGGTAATTGAACTAATATTGTCGACAGACTCTCTGCATAAACAAAACATTTAAAAGATACTTACCGCCACTGGCATATTTGAAAGTGCTCCATATTCTTTGAGATGGGTGATAGATATTGTATAAGTTGCCTTTTTGTTGGGCTCATCAAAACAAGGGAAGGATTTTCTGGCATCTGTTGGTTCATGATCGGTGGCTGCTATGCTCCTTAGAAACAAACACAAAAGCAAAAACAAAATGCATGCTACCACTTCTGACAACCCCTATGTTATTCCTCAGGAAAAAAAAAAAAAAAATCAACTATGCAATTATAACTATCACATTTCTAAAATTGAGGTTCCATCTAGAAAACTATCAAATATTTGTCAAAGGCTTTCCTGGAATTTTTAAGGTTAACGCATTGTTTAAAAATCCTGAGACAGATTACTTCAGATATTTCATGCGAATATGTAGTTGTCAAAAACCGCAATTACTTTTGCACCAAACTGACAGCTATTTTGGTGCCATGACTAACAACAAATCCAGTTATGAGTTAGTACTCTCTCCACCAGAAACCCATTGAGCAACAAGTAGATAAACACAAAGCCAAACTTAAAGGCTTGTTTCTAACTGGCCTTACGGGAAGTGAGCAGCTGTCTTCTGTCACAGAGTGGAGTTTCTTCCAGAGTCCCCAGTCCCTGTCCCTAATGGCACATTCTTTCTTATTTATGTTACACCAGGGACAAAAGCCCCAGTTTCATTTCCATGTGAAGGCAGTGCTGATTAATCTCCTAGGTGAAGTAACCTTTGGTCTAGTTTAAAGCTCACTCTTGAAAAAAGACAGCAGCATTTTTGTTTTTAATGGCTCTAACTAGGCATATGCTTGTGCAAACTAAAATGTTAATGTTTAGTATTTTCATAATTTCAAGGTGAAAACAGTATTTTCTGAGCAATTTCTCAAAAAATCAATAAGCATACACTTTTTACATGTAAACATAGTAAGAGAGTATTGTATATTTGCTCATTAGAAAATGAAGCAAAGTCAAAAGTATTAAAGTAAGAAATGAGCCGGGCGCGGTGGCTCAAGCCTGTAATCCCAGCACTTTGGGAGGCCGAGGCGGGTGGATCACGAGGTCGAGAGATCGAGACCATCCTGGTCAACATGGTGAAACCCCGTCTCTACTAAAAATACAGAAAACTAGCTGGGCGTGGTGGCGCGTGCCTGTAATCCCAGCTACTTAGGAGGCTGGCCGAGATCGCGCCATTGCACTCCAGCCTAGGTAACAAGAGCAAAAGTCCGTCTCAAAAAAAAAAAAAAAAAAAAAAAAAAAAAAACTTAAAAGAAATGATAATTTATATTCATTAATAATTTGTGTAAGGAAAAATTTTGTCCTTCAGGAGTCTCAAAACTTAGAGATATCATAAAGAATATCAGGCTAAATTATTACATCATCCATTCATCCAACAAATATTTATTGAACCCCTTTCACACACGCACAGACACGCACACATGTGCACACACACACACGCGCACACACACACAAACACCTATACATGCATGCACACATTTGCAGACACTTTTCTAGCTGTTGTGGAAACAACAAATCTGTATGAAACTGCCTTTGCAAAATTATAACAGGAAATTACGACAGTGAAAAAAGTCAGACCTAACTGACTCCATCTTGCGTTTAACCTTTAAGCTGTACTTGTTCATTCCTGAGCGTAAGCCGAACTAATTTTGGGAAGGAATTCAGTTCATGGTTTGACTCTGAAACAAAATTGATAATAGACCCTTCCTGAAAAGACCCCCTCTTGCCTGGAGATCAGTCTGCCTTTGCAGGGCTAACAAATTAGCCACAAGATTAGAAATTACTTTAAGGGTTAAAAATTAGAAATTACTTTAAGTTTACGGGTCATGCAGCCTCTGGCTGCAAGAGTCTCAACCTCCTCAAATTGCTCATGGAGGTAACATTACTACTGTAAAACCTAAGATCAGTGCTGGAGATACTTTGCAGACTCTGCACTTGATGGATTAGCGGACACCACCCAGACCAGTAATCTGGCTCAACCAGTTCTGCCATCCCACCCAGGAACAGAAAACAGAAAGAACAACTCACTTCAACCCTCTGGGACTCCATTTCCAACCTGACCAATCAGCACTCCCCACTTCCCAAGCTCCTACCTGCCAAATTGTCTTAAAAACTTTGATCCCCAAATGCTCAGAGAGACAGATTTGAGTAATAATAAAACTCTGGTCTCCTACACAGCCGGCTTTGTGTGAATTATTCTTTCTCTGTTGCAATTCCCTTATCTTGATAAATCAGCTCTGTCTAGGCAACGGGCAAAGTGAACTCATTGGGGGGTTACTTAATAGAGAAGATTCCAGATGACTGCCAGGGTGTTAGACAAGAGACACACAAATAAATAAATAATTTAGGAGAGTGATGAGAGCTAAATAGAAAATAAACAGTGGAAGTGACAGAGGATGACTAGGAAAAGTAGTAAGCAACATTAGGTAGAGTAGTCACAGTCTTTTGGAATAAGTGGTGGCTTGCCACAATCGGAATAATGAGAAAAAGCCAGGCAAGTGGAGAGTCAGGAAACTATGTTCAAGTAGAAGGAACCGTAAACCCAAAGTCTATAAGGTGAAAAAGAACCTGATGTGGTTGAAGAATTTAAAGGTGACCAGTGTGGCTAAAGAACACTGAACCAGAGGGACTGGAGCCAGAGATGAGTTTGACATGAGGTCAGCAGAGGCCAAAGCAGGAAAATATCAGAGGCCATGAGAAGAGCCTGCATTTTATTTTGGTTCAAGGATTTATTACAGTCAAAGATTTGACTGCCTTTGGGCAAATAAACATCAAAATAAACAATGGGGGCCTCACAGGAAATACAACATACCCACAACCATCTGATCTTCGACAAACCTGACAAAAACAAGCAATGGGGAAAGGACTCCCTGTTTAATAAATGGTGTTGGGAAAACTGGCTAGCCATGTGCAGAAAGCAGAAACAGGACCCCTTCCTGACACCTTACACCAAAATTAACTCCAGATGGATTAAAGACTTAAACATCAGACCTAATACCATAAAAACCTTAGAAGAAAATCTAGGCAAAACCATTCAGGACATAGGTGTAGGCAAGGACTTCATGACCAAAACGCCAAAAGCAATGGCAACAAAAGCCAAAATAGACAAATGAGACCTAATCAAACTCCACAGCTTCTGCACGGCAAAAGAAACAGTCAGTAGAGTGAATCGGCAACCAACAGAATGGGAAAAAAATTTTGCAGCCTACCCATCTGACAAGGGGCTGATATCCAGAATTTACAAAGAACTAAAGCAGATCTACAAGAAAAAAACAAACAAGCCCATTCAAAAATGGGCGAAGGATATGAACAGATACTTTAAAAAAGAAGACATACAGGAGGCCAACAAACATATGAAAAAATGCTCATCATCACTAGTCATCGGAGAAATGCAAATCAAAACCACATTGAGATACCATCTCACACCAGTTAGAATGGCGATCATTAAAAAATCGGGAAACAACAGATGCTGGAGAGGATGTGGAGAAATAGGAACACTTTTACACTGTTGGTGGGAATGTAAATTAATTCAACCATTGTGGAAGACAGTGTGGCGATTCCTCAGGGACCTAAAAATAGAAATCCCATTTGACCCAGCAATCCCATTACTGGGTATATATCCAAAGGATTATAAATCATTCTACTATAAGGACACGTGCACACGAATGTTCATTGCAGCACTGTTTACAATAGCAAAGACCTGGAACCAACCCAAATGCCCAACGATGATAGACTGGATAGGGAAAATGTGGTACATATACACCATGCAATATTATGCAGCCATCAAAAACGATGAGTTCACGTCCTTTGTAGGGACATGGATGAACCTGGAAACCATCATTCTCAGCAAACTGACACAAGAGCCAAAAATCAAACACCGTATATTCTCACTCATAGGCCGGTGTTGAACAATGAGAACACATGGACACAGGGAGGGGAGCACTACACACTGGGGTCCGTTGGGGGGAAATGGGGGCGGGGCGGGGGGGTGGGGAGGTGGGAAGAGATAGCATGGGGAGAAATGACAGATACAGGTGAGGGGACGGAAGGCAGCAAACCACACTGCCAAGTGTGTACCTATGCAACAATCTTGCATGTTCATCACATGTACCCCAAAACCTAAAATGCAATTAAAAAAATAAAAAAATAAAAAATCATCAGTGGGTGCCAAAACAAGGGGGTTAAAGTTTGGTGAGGAAGGAATATTTGCAAGGTTTCAAAAAAAATCTCCCTGAAAGTTACCTAAAGAGAAACATTGTAACTTTATAATGGAGACACCTGTTGGACACTACCTTAAGCAAGCTATCAAAGGAAGCATCACTAATCATAGTTCAAACCAGCACAATGTGTCTCTAATGTGATTTCCTGAGAGAGACACATCACATCTGTGATAGTCCTCACAAAAATAAAAAAGAAAAAATGCTTAACTTGCATTTTTAAATCATGAGGAAAATCAGACAAGCTAAAACTGAGGGACATTCTCAAAATAGCTGGCCTGTATTCTTCAAAAATATTAATGTTAGAAAGGCAAAGAAGGACTAAGGGACTGGTGTCGGTTTAAAGGACTTTGAAGGGGCATGATACTAAATACAATGCACCACTCCAGACTGGGTACTGGACTGGGAAAAAAAATTGCTTTAAAAGACATCATTAAGGCCAGGTGCAGTGGCTCATGCTTGTAATCCTAGCACTTTGGGAGGCCGAGGCAGGCGGATCACAAGGTCAGGAGTTCAAGACAAGTCTGGCCAAGATGGTGAAACCTCATCTCTACTAAAAGTACAAATTTAGCTAGGCATGGTGGCACGTGCCTGTAGTCCCAGCTACTCGAACTGGCTGAGGCAGGAGAATCGCTTGAACCTGGGAGGCAGAGGTTGCAGTGAGCCAAGATCAGGTCACTGCATTCCAGCCTGGGTGACAGAGTGAGACTCCGTCTCAAAAAAAAAAAAAAGGCATCATTAGGTTAGTTGATAAAATTCTATTATGGACTTTGAATTAGATAATTGTATCAATGTTAAATTTCTTGATTTAGATAACTGTACTATGGTTATTTTAGAGAATGCCCCGGTACTTAAGAAATATGCTCTGATGTTAAGGGGTGAAGGGAGAGGATGTTTCCATGTGTTCTGGAAAGAAAGGAGG